TAGCTATATTGCTTAAGTTTGGGGTCTCATATTTTGTTCGAACCATCCCACTCCCTACTCGCTTCCTCAGTATGATCCCACGAATAAAAGTTATAATAGCCAGCAAATGTGTATTACAGCTTAGTATGAAGCGACAGCCATTGCTGCACGGCTCAGACACAGAATTAGAGGAACACAGCCTGGTGGTTACACAATGAGACGACAACGATCGAGTCTCAAACACACAGGTCATCGAGCAAAGTTCGCTCAGGAACACTCACTCGTTCTTCTCATCAATCCACTTCTTAGTCACTGTGAACGCAAAACACGAAAAGAGCACAGCCTAGTGGACCCGTCAGCAGGTACGACCAATAGCGAAACTAGACAAGACATCAGCCAGCCTAGTCATCCCGGCACAGTTCGCACACGAACACGCATTCGTCCTCTTCATCAATCACTGCACAGGCATCGTGCGCCCATTTATCGCAGAGAGCGCATCGCGACCAAGACTCGCTCGATTTGGACATGGAGAAAAAGGACCCGCAGTACAGACAAGCTACATCTTCTTCGTCCGAGGACTCCTCAAAGGTAAGCTTTCGCGGCGTACGCTTCTTTTGTTTGCGCTGCAGTTTCTGAGTTTCTGCACTTTCCTTTTTTCCTTTAGACTGACTTGTGTTGTCATTTTTCTTTCCTCCCTGTCTACCTTCTTTTCCTTCGAGTCTCTTCTTGAGTTCCTCCTTGTATGGTGTGCCAGTCAAGACACATGTTTTACGTTTCTTTTGTCCTTTACCTCTCTCTTCCCTTGAGTGCACTTTTGGCAAAGGGAGGACTTCGCAGGGAGACACATAGGACCTTGCGGGTGGGTCATTTTGACCTTGGGAAGCATGGCTCGGTCCAGCTAAGCATGATACTTCTAGAACGTCATCTTGGTGATCGCTAGAGCTTGAGAAATCATCTGGCAGAGCCCCAGCGGTAAGCTTGAGAAACTTCGCTTGAGTTTCGGTATTAGTCGAGCTTCTCTGCCCCGATATTCCATCCGGCGACAGTTTCCGAAGACTCCCGAACGTTCGTGCTCACAGAGACATCAACGTCAGAGGGCCCAGGCATGGGCAGAGGAGCTGCCGCTGAGTTGAGACCCACTGGTGCGTCTGCGGTCCCGGTCAGCGGGATGTTCGTTGTTTCTGCCGCTGCGAAGTCTTCTTCGCCAAACACATGGCGGTTTGTGGGAAAGATCCCCGTGACTTCGAAGCCCTTCAACGCCGTCTTCACTGTTGCCGCCTGCACGTAGGCTGACCCGATCAGCTCCCCCATCTCTGCCAGTGTGATGTCTTTACCAGGGTTGTTTCGGTTCTCGATTGCCACGTTCTCTGACCTTGGAAGAAAAAGGTGCTGACGGGAAGCATGAACGTCCAGTCCAGTGGTTGAAGGCGGTGTGAGGTGTGCGGAGGAATGGTGAGCATCACCACACCTGCTTTCCTGCAGAGCAGGATGGTTGCGAGGCTCTTGGTGTGGCTGGCATGTCCATCCAGTATGAGAAGGACTGGATCCTGCTTCGAGGGCTTTGTGTGCTGTATGAAATGGTCGAGCCATTTCACGAACAGCTCCTTCTGCATCCAGCCAGACTCATGGTACAGCACCAGGCTACCTGGGGGAAGGCCCTTCTCCAACTGCTGTTTAGCCCTCTTTCTTGGGAACATCACACCTGGAGGTATGTAGCTCCCCGCAGCGTTGATACACATCACACCGGTAACCAGCGTGCCTCGTTCCGCAGATGTCAGTTGGCCGATCTGCTTGCACCCTTTCCTCGCCAGCACCTTCTCTTGTTTTGTTGCGACCGTGTTGAATCCCCTTTCATCCATGTTGTAGATGCGTGTGGGACCGAACGGGGCAGAATCCATCTGCGACTCAAGGTTGTCGAAGAACGCGTTGACATTGACTGAGTTGAACGCCGCGGCGCGAGCAACGCTTGTGGCCTCTGGTGTCCTTAGTGAGACCGTGGGGTTCCTCTTGCGGAAGCACTGTATCCACACCTCCCCTGCCATCTTCGTCACCGTGTTGAATGGGTGAGTGATTTTGTTTATGTCTGCGAACTCGTATGCGAGCTTCTTGAGGTCAGTCCGCGTTATTCCGAACATGCGGTTTTGGAGCTCCATTATGTGCTGTACCAAATCTCGTTACTGAGCTTCCGTGAAAACAGGTTTGTGTCGACCCAGGACCTCCTCTGTGGCCTCTGTTATTGACATCGCCCGTGCATTTTTCAGTCGTCTGTCGAGAGTCGACTTCGGAACCAGAAAGCGGCGTGCCTCTTCTTTGGTGGACATTTTTCCCACCTTGACTGCTTTGATGGCCTTTGCCATTGTATCGTGCTTCCAGGATTGCCGATCGGTTTTTCTCTTGTAATTTCGAACCATTCTCCGCCTGGCGAAGTAGTTCCTCTGCAAAAAAGAACGTCAGCGTGAACGTTGAACGGATTTGGGAGAGACATTTGCACCTTAAGTCCCCCTCCCCCTTCCCACCCCTTCCTGGACCCGTCAGTGTACCTATATTCCTTTTTATGAACTAGGAAAACGTTTACCCGCTATGAAAAATTAAGTACAATTATCAAAGCGAAATACCTAACTGCATGCCTATAACTAGCTGGTAATAGGGCATTTCATTTCTTTTGTTAAATTAGTCACTGCATGATACTGCGTGATGCTGCGTGATACTGAATCAAGTCACCACAGGTATGTACTTACAATTTGCATGTTCACAAATGAGCTTTATTAAACAACATAATTACAATAAATTAGGCCTAAAATGATCGATAAATATAGAGCTATCACAAGCGCACCTCTAATGAATTATAAACAACAAATCGCAAGGCCACACATTCCCAGCTTGACGCAGTAGTTCGATCACTATTTAATTGTAGAACTGGAACGGGATCGATTCACTTGTTTCGGGCTCTACTCATGTGCTTGCTACTACCATTGAAACATTGTGTTCATGGCTTATTGAAGCCCAACTTTCCTTGCGATAGTCATATTTCAGATGGGGCAAAACGGGACCTTTTGTGTCCTATCTTATCCCGAGTGCCCATTTTACCCCAACCATTCCGCCCCATGGACACAAACGACACAACATGATTCGACACGCAACGAAAACTGGCCCGAAAAATTCACAATTGCTCACAAGGAATCTGCATGCATACACCATCAAAGCGCAGCGCCTTTGAATTCACGATTCATTATACTCGTGGAATAAAAAACGTTCAAATCACCATAAAAATAATAACAACAAATTGAAGGCGAAAACTCACGTCCTCCAACGACGGCAGCCGACAGAAAGGCCCGGTGCGCGTCATTTCCGTCCCCCTGTCAGAGAAGCTTTAGTTTAAACCATTGATTTCCGATGGCGCCACCTCTAACAGCCGAAATCGCGGGGTGCCGGTTTTACCCGGGTGCCTCATTTTGCCCCGTTTTCCCCTACCTAAGGTCAGATATGAAGGTCAGAGCAAGGTCAAAACCAACCTGTCTTATTACTTTAGGTCTTGCTGTACGGGATAGTTTCTGGTGCTCACTCCGAATTTATTGATAGCAAGAGCTGCATTATGCATCTTCCATGGACTTTCTTGAGGTTAGAGTAGGTCATTGACCTAAAATGACCCAGGTCAACATTTTGTTTTAGAAACATACTGCCTAGCGCAAAATTTGTCGCTTATTCCAATGCAAAACTAAGAGCGGTCTTGTATGATTTTGTTCACCATTAACTTCAAGAGGTCAAACAAGGTCACCGACCTAAAATGAGCTTGTGACCTTTTGCTTACAAACAGTTATCTATTTTCGGGGAGGGCACTTTGGAGACCAACCTGGAATTTCGATTTGTTTGACCCTATTTGACCCGAAGGTCATGACCTAGGGACCTCAAACTTTGACCTAAGTGAGTTTACGTACAGGTCAACACACCCTGTAAATTTGGTGTCTCTAGCTTTTTTAAGTTCCCGAGACCTCGGGGGGGGGCTCCAATTGCCCCCCCCCCCCCCCCACCCGAGCGAAGGATATCCAGCTGGCGACCCGGGAGCGTGTTAGGACCGTGAGGTCTGTGATGGCGGAATTGGCACTACCCTTCTCCAGGGGCAGAACAGTAGGAGTGTTCTGTGGTTTTCAGAAGTCATCGCTCGTCAAAAGACACATCAAGATTATTAAATCAGAAAGAAAGAGGCGCTCACTTGCGTTATCTTGACCCCGAAGTTTGCACACTTTGGGAGGAGGGAGGGAGGTTTCGGCTGAGGACGGATCACAACATCCTTCAGTGGCTTCCGAATTCTAAAATCCACCAGGAAAGTTGACGAGGTAGTGGGACACACTTGGCAGCTTTCAATTTGACGTAGTTTTCACGCCGGGTGCGCAGAACATAGCTGCAGACGCCTTGAGTCGGCGCCCAGCTGAGGTTAAAGATGTGTTATGTCGGTCTGAGCATGGTGCCAAGTGTCCCATAGTGATGGCTGGCTAATGGGTTTTACTCAGCTCAAGCAGACAAATGGCAAGTCGACCGCTGAGATTTCCTGTCACTTGTCCCCGGATGATCGGCCACAGAAGCGTCACCTCTCGTCCAAGGCACATCTTCCGCTGCGGCAATGAGGTCGGCTTCGCTTATTGAAAATTATGTTGTTTCAGTTATGAAGAAGGCAGGGCTGTGAACTGTACTGAACGATCTTCAAGATGGCTATTTCTGTTCAAAACCCCATACAAACGCGGAACACTTCACCAGCAGCGTGCGGAACATGCGGCGTCATTATCTCTTTCCAGTGGCAGTGAGCCTATGAATGGAACATCGCTGTTTCGATCACTGGGACTGTATGGATATTTCGATGTTCTGGTTGTCCCGTAGCACTACGTATGGCGCCCAGCGGCTCGTCACGTATTTAAATGTTAGCATCAGTGACGTCATAGCAAGCATAAACGAAGGAAATTCGGAAATCACCGGGCAACTTTGCCGCTCTCTGATACGGCCTTGGGTTTGGGTGTAATTGGATCGGGGTTGGCACGGTGTGAGTGTTTGTGTTCCAGTTCGGCTGTGATCAACTGATTTGTTTGTGCGCAATGCTAGATGGAATCTTTGCTTAATTTGGGTATTTGGCATTGATCACTTCAAGAATGCAGACAGACGTCTTGGCATTGCGAGCTTGAACAGGTGAGGTTAGAAAGTCGTGCGCTGGTGCGGTTAATTTTCGTTGCAATCAGCTTACCTTTCTGTTGCCTTCTCTTCCACCACTTGAAGTTGTATGCCGATGTAACTCATGCTTGCAATGTTTCTTTTGACTGCTGGCTTCTTGGTCCCAAGTTTGCACCCGTGCACGAACGTAAAGGCGGTTTAAGAGCTTATAGTATACGCGCCGAATTGGTATCATTTGTAGGTATTGTATTTGGGTTGTGTGAGCTAAGTTTTTTACCCTTTTTATGAAATAAGATAAAGACTGCAATGGAAATCATTGTTTTCCTCCAACAAACCTTGCTGAAAGTAAACAGCTTCATTGAATGCTTTTTCAGCCATGATACAAAGAACACCCAGCCTGGGAAACACAGGTACAGGATTGAGGCAGACCTTTGCATTGAAGGTTTTTAAATTGTTAGCCAGGGGTGCCAAGTAAGGGTTGGTCACATTACTTTTGGCTGACTTATGGTACCTTGGGTCAGGTGTTAAATATGGGCAAAATTGGGTGTAGCCTGAAAGTGCATCACAGTGCATGAAAAAAGCATAAATGACAATATTTCTTCAAATCCCTCCTTCTTTCACAAAATCTAATAAGTTGCTATCCAGGGACAGTGACAGTCAAAAAGTCAAGTTTTTCACCTTCTGTTGTTTGTCTTTTGCAGTTTGTCTATTGCAATGATATCCTGTCCAGCCCCATATGTGACTTCATATATATATATATATATATATATATATATATATATATATATATATATATATGTATAGTAGCTTCCCTTATAGCTAGAGATCCACTTCTTAACTTTAAGCTTTCTGATGAAATATGTTTGGCAAGCATCAAACATTTTGTTTATGCTGGCTTTTGCTGCTTACACTGAATAAATCATTCAGCTGTTGACAACTCTACATCAAATGAGCTGCCAGCAGAAGCATGTTAGCTCAGAAACCATCATATTTGTCTTTCACATTTCAACATGCTTGGCTATTTTTAAGTGGTGTTAATTTAGGAATAATAAGAATGTAATGCTACATGTTTGATGGCAAATTCAATGTAATTCTGACTGATCTAAAGCAGAGTAGCAGGGGAATTAGTAGTCAGTAGGTGCAAGCAAATAAGGTAATCAGGAATGTCATGGAGACACTGTGCAAACATTTAAGTATTAGTTTTGCCCTGAGCAGCTAAGCTGGATGCCTCATTTGGGGCAAAATCTCACCTGCCCCAAAGATCTTGCCAACTGGTGCCACCTTTTGCGGGCTAGCACAGCCAGAACAGAAATAAAGACGAAGTGTAGTGCAGTAAGTAGGTTGCACTTATACTGGAAATACTCACTTAAGTGGCATATACTTAGAGAGGATTGGATTGAGGTATTCAAGGTCATGAAAGGGATAGACAAGGTTGCCTTGAAATGGGCACTCAAAATTAGACTGAGACTTAGAAGAAACCAGTTTTTATAAGAACTATGAAGCAGGGTGGGAAATTTAGTTTTTTTGCTGGTGGCGGAGTACAAAAATTTTTGTGGTCGGAGTACAAACTTGCCTGCAAGCAAAGGTCTGTCTAATGTGGAATGAGTGTCTGCACAATGGGCCTTGCTTGGAGTACATCACATACTGCCTTTAATGGGTCAACATTTTCCCAATGTTTTTCTGGCAAAAATGAGTGTCAGCATGCAATTTTGCATTTCCGTGGAACAGAGCACTTCTTGTGAGTGAGGGTGCCACACTGATCCCATCCATATCTCTGTAGTGCTACTAGCTCACCTATACATGCAAAGATTGCTTAATGGTACATGTTAATAAGAAATATACAGTTGAGAGGTTAACAACAAAGCTTTATACATATGCATTCACAGGTGCATCATACAAAGCTCAGTTACTTATCATTACCTATCTACATGCAAACTTACACAATATCAAAATGATAAATCAGGTGCATCCTCTGCTTACTGACAAACTAAGTTGCGGACAACCACTGTGCATCACACCCTGGTTTTTTAATGAGTCTTAGGCAGATGCAACTGTCTATGAAAGCCTTATGTATGTGACATCACTAACATGTTGTCCTTTTGGCCTTTACATAATTAATATAATCATACCAGAAGTGTTCCTCTTCCTATCCTTCTCTTTCTGCTCTTCTCCTCTTTCAGTTCCTCACCTTCTCTTTCTGTCGCTTTTCTCCTTCCACTCCTCCTCCACTTCTGCTCCTCCTCTCTTCCTGTTATCCCTCTCCTCTTCTCCGAGTTCCCTATGATCTTATGTAGGGACAATTTTAATACTGTCACTGCAAGACCTTATGCCTGACAGCAAGGAACATGGCAGCATTGCCTCCTGTCAGGTTTCAGCAGTTATAACCACAAGCTGAAAAGAGGCCAGCCTCATATTTGATCCCACATGGGAAACCCAAGCCTAGCATGTATGTTGTATATAGATACCTTAGTACCTACGTACCTACCCACCATGCTGTAGGTAGAGCAGGTTATACCAAGGTGATTCTGCACCAGCCTGCAGTGGTAAACATTTATAGATCAGTCCCCCAGTATTTATTTACCTTTTTTGGAATGACTTAATAGCGGTCCAAAACTAAATCCCAAGTAATTTTAGAAGTGTGGATACATGCTGTGTGAAAATTGAAGACAACCAATTCCACTTTGTCTCACTGAATACCTCAAACTCGCAGCTACGATGCACATAATCCCAAGCATCTTCACTCACCTTCTGCCCTCCTCACTCCCACCACATCAAGACAAACAACCAAACCATGCACAGGAGTTCTGGCGCATTCACAGACATTGTGATGGCATTCTAGCACTCGTCAATGGGCAACCAAGTACAAGTACCACGGGTCGGTCCTGAAATGACAGGCTGTGATGAATAGTCTAAGAAAAAACATTTATGCAGTTGCAGCAACACAAATTGTTAAGTTTGCGGTAGAAAAATCATAGAGCTTTTCAGTCATGCATTTAAAGTTGCTATTTTCCACCTACAGATATATATTATCTTCTGGTGGCGCAAGACAACGCCGAGATAATGCAGGACCTGTACTACAAATCTATAGATATTTCTCATTCTAAGGCATATCATGCCATTTCAACACCCTCTGAGGAAGGCCCGTATCTGGACGATACCAAAACACGTCAATTTTTAAATTAAATTTGGCTAACTTTGCTAAAAACTTGCTGTTCTCCGGCTTGTACTCCGGCTTGTTCTCCCCGGGTCTCCCTATAGGCCCCATTGTGAGAAGGGCAACCAAGTACTGCGATTTTTTCCCACCGGGTTATGGACCATCTCTATCTTACAAGTATAGGTACTGGCTGAGCCTGGAGACATGATACCCTTGTTAAATAAGTAAGATATCCTCGAATCTTCAAAGACCGGCACCTACCGATTTCTGAAAAAGTGGTTGACTTACTGTCATTTATACCATAGTAATAAGTTTTGGAATGCTGCATGCCACAAACTCCCATTTTGGGAACGTAATTCCCGATGACATTTAAGAACCCAAAAGAAGCCGTTACCACCAAAAGTGCCGTCCACAAACGTGATATTTGGGTGCCATTTAATGTCATGATTCTATCTCAAAAGTGCCGATATGTGGTGTGTTTGAATGCTATGATTTTGAGTTTAATTGCAAGTTGGATGGTGATTGGTGGCTGGTATGGCAGGAGCAGGAATGAAACAAGCACTTTGAAAAGGATGTGCAATGCTGCAATCTTTGGATTTTTCCCACCAAACTGTTTGCAAGATGCACGTCCTTTGGTAAAATCGCTAACATGTTATCTTAATATGAGGTAAGTTAAGAGCATAGTTGGCATGCTGGACTTCTTGCTCGGCGGGTCTTTGAATGACCTAGTTGAAAAAGATGTGCCAGCGGTGATTTTGGTGCTGCTAGTGGTTTCTGGTCGAACGAATATTGTTGTAGGTGTCTGTTGCGACGCGGACCTTCACTGCTCGAAAATGCACTCGTCAGTTGCAGGAGGCTGGACTGCCGCTGGTTTCGGGTACGGGAGGCGATGGTGGGAGCCAGAGCCGTGATATGTTTGTCCGTTTCTTGAAAGGTATCGGTAGGTGTGTTTGTCGTGGAAAATGCGGTCTTACTCAGGTGCGCCATATAAATCGTCAGTCGCAGGAGGCTGGGCTGCCGCTGGTTTCGGGTACGGGAGGCAATGGGTTCGTCGCGTGGTGGGAGCCAGAGCCGTGATATGTTTGTCCGTTTCTTGAAAGTTATCGGTGGGTGTGTGCGTCGTGGAGAATGCGGTCTTCTTACTTACTCGGGTGCGCCATATATTTTCCCCACAGGTAATGACATGCAAGGTATGTGGCAGCGGTAGGTACTTAAAGCAAGCACATTTCATATTTCAGTTTATTTCATTCCCACAGAAGTAACTCACATGAGTTGTCATCACCATTCAGGAGTTGCATAGGCTTGTACAAGTGCATCTAACCCATGTAATACAATGATGAAGGACATTAACATGAACACCCTGGATTGGCCAGCTCCTGCAGGATTGCAGATGCTTGTCTCCATTTCTTGGTGCTCCATATGTTTGGTCCCTGGAAATCAGATAAAAGTTATAACTCACTTTATGAAAGCAAAGTTCACGCACCCTCCTGGCTATCAAGAAAGCAAAACTGTCTGCCTTGGTACTTATACTCAGGCTCATACATTTGCAATGGTGTCTGCTTTGTGGGGCGACTGCAGTGTTTGTCTGGAGTACAAAAATTGTCATTCTTACCAGTCAAGAGCCTGGAGTACAACATTTCCTGGTGTCACATCCACCAGAAAACGGAGGTTTTTCCCACACTGCTATGAAGAGGCAGGTGTTATTTAGTCAAAGAGTGGTAAACCATTGGAATAGACTATGGAATAAGGTTATAGAAAGTCCTTCCCTAGCAACATTTACAAATTATTGGGCAAGTTCTGTGGGCGTGAGGGTCCCATTTAAAGCTAAATTCAGGCAAGTCAGATGGTAAGATTAGTGTCAAGGTTGTGTATGGAACCTGAGGTAGGTGGTCCCAATTGGCCCCTACAGCACTTTGTTGGCCTTATGTCTTTGTGTCGTGATGTCTAACCATGAGTCACTGGGGCTCCATTAGGTTTCACCAATCAGCAATTTTTCAGACTCATACCCTGTTATGAAAGCAAATCCTCTATCAGCAAAGAATGGCCTAACCAGCAGAACATAGGACCATAGGGCACCAATGGTGATTAGAAAATGTCATTGTCTTACCATCTCACTCTTTTAAAATTCAGTGAATGATATCTCCCTAACTACATTGTAAGTCTGCAACAGTGTTGTTTATGCATTGTAAGGACAGCATCACCACCTCAAAGACAAAGATGGTTGGCAGTAGCTGGCCAGAACAGTCTTCAGAACAGTCTTCAGAACTCATATAGTTAAGCTTTCCAGTATACATTTTCCTGGTGTATTTTCTGGGGTTGAGTACCCAACATGAGCAATTGGCTGCCCACATCCTTATGTAGCTTAGCATATAGCAATGTACAAATTTAGAGGTATATATGATCACATGCAACCAGATTGCAGTCATAAAACCTCACACACATGTGTCTAATATAAAAGGCCTTGAAAAACTGAAAAGCTGTTAACATTCATGCAGATATGTCCACCAAACCTGTTTTCACTTTCCAGCCCTATCTCATTCAGGCTCCCTTAAACACTGTCCTTGGACAACTCAGGGCAGTTTGCCAGCACTGAACCTTTTGTTAGGCACAGTGGGCCTCTGGTTAACACCAGGGCCCTTGGCAGACTGGTGGTCCTTGTTTGTTCAGGGGCCCCTACTAATGTAAATCCTTGGCTCTATGTTCCCACCCCATAAATCATGGGTGGGAATAATTGCATGCTTAAAAAGCCCAATTTGACTAAATGCGCTCCCTTTGAAGAGAATGTCCCCCAGTTGAAGATATCAAGACAAGTGTCCAATGTGATGAGGAAAGATCACTTGCAACTCCTGGTATCCATTGAAGTGCAAAGACTTCGAAGACAACACAGTTTCACTAATGAGAGTCAATATGCTCCTCAATACATTATTGTCTGACTGTGTCCTGGGACGTTTTTATGATGTCAGTGGAGCCACCAAACTGGCCGTGCGACGCTGCCACCTGAGTGGGTGTGCTAAATCTCTGATAGTGCTTTAACTCGTCGAGAGGTGTCTTGCTAGCCGTGGGTTGTTTGTAGGTAGAAACAATGTGATCAAATGACGATGTAATGAGGAGCATATTCGCTCAAAATAGTGATTGTGTTGTCTAGAGCTGTCTTCTCCACTTAAAATTATGTTAATAGTTATAAGTGAGCTTGTTTTATTATATTTGGTGCTTGCTTGGATATATTAAACTGTGTAACTTTTAGAGCAAGCATCAGGTATGATGAAATGAGCCCACTTATAACTATTAGTAAAGATTTCACTGGGAAAACCTGTTCTAGACAAAACAGTTTCTGTTGAGTATATGTGTTTCTCAATGCATAGTTGATTTATTGTGTCTTCGTACCTTGTACAACATTGTTCGAGAAGCAATTGGCGGCCGTTTTATGTGGAAATGGTACACACAAACTCCAGATATGAACAACTGAACTTTTGTTGTCTTGATTTCTTCTGGCCAGCGGAATAGCAACATTTGGAGAGTGTTACTACGGCATTATGGATGCTTGGGTGACCTTGAAAGTCTCCCGAAATGGTGGACGTTTAGCACAGAAACTGGAAAGGTTTAGTTCGTAAGAAAGGCAGGGCTGTGCTCTGCACCAAATGATCTTCAGGATGGTTATTTGACTTCAAAATATCACGCAAACCAATCCATTTAATCCAGTTGCACTCGGGATTTTTCGACCCCAGCTGCGACCACTAGGTTGTCAAAGGTGCTGCTCCCAAAGGTGGCGATAAGAATTACTGAAACATGTAGGCGTGTTCAGGACCGCCGCAATAATGCCACACTTGCTCACATTTTGAGCGTTATCTTATGGCCTTAGCTAACCTGCCCATTAGCAGTGCCTGCAAGCAATATGTCCAAGAGATGGGCCGAGTGTCCAGTGGGTCTTTGCAATGACTACATTTCTGTAAATATTTCCTGACGACGTGTGGGTGGGCTCCTTCACCATCTTTGCACTGCGCAAGTTCTTGGAAAAGTATGCATCCACAGAAATGAATGCTTGAGGCCATTAAATATCTGATTGCATGTTGGTTGACTCGAAGGGACTCTCGTGCACATATTGGGGCATTATTCACTAAAATAAATCAGATCTTCAGTAAAACCGAGCTTCAAGGTAGTTTATTTCTCACTTCACATGCCACTGAAACGTGTCCTCTTGAATCACATAACGCCAGCGCTGACCCACATGCTCAACATTTAGTGTGACCTCACGCCTTCGATGCTACAATACTGTCAGGGCGTTGAATCACTCATAACCCACCTACCTTATTGGTTTTGCTTTGGTGCCTGAAATCTATGTTTAGGTCAGTATGCAGTGAAAGAAACGTGGAGGGTTGCGCCAGTGCTCTGTAATGACTGCACGAGTGTGTGAACGTAAGCACACACATCCAAGCACCTGCAGCCGGTTATGCACGCTGTACGCGGCCCTGACCGTGCCGTGACTGTGCGCCGACCCGGCAGGGGCGCCCAGATGGCTCCGCGCCGGTCCCGCGCCGCGGCCGCTCCCCAGAGGGCGACGAACGGCCACCGTGTGCCGGTGCGGCTGCCGCCCGGCCTGACGCTGACCGACGTCACCCAGCGGCGCTGGCGGCTCGGCCGCTCCATCGGCATTGGCGGTTTCGGCGAGATCTACTGCGCCGACCGCGACGACGGCGGCCCGGTGGGCGCCGACGCGGCGCATGTGGTCAAGGTGGAGCCGCACTCGAACGGGCCGCTCTTCTCGGAGATGCACTGCTACCACCGTGTGGCGCGCGCTGACATGATCGACGCCTGGAGGCGCCAGCAGGGCCTGAAGAGGCTGGGCATGCCGCGCTTCGTGGCGAGCGGCTCGGTGGAGTACGGCGGCCAGCGCTACCGCTTCATGGTCATCGACCGCTTCGGCACCGACCTGCAGAAGCTGCTCAACGAGAACGGCGCCCGGTTCCCCGTGGCCACAGTCCTCCTGATCGGCGTGCAGGTGGTGCGTTGTCTGACATGCCCAGGCCAGTCTCGCCCTCGCCCCACCTGCGTATGGGGAAAGTTTTGTCTTATTGGTGACTGTGTGTGCTAGGTTCTGCCGCATCACTCAAAGCTCGTGTGGTACGCGCTCGTCAAGTCATGCGTAGGATAAGTTGCCTGTCGTACTTTGCCCCTGCCTGAAGGCGATGTGTCCTTAGACTGCATTGTAAGTGCGCAGCTTCTTCAAAGACGTAATGCCGTCCCACTCACGCCGTAATGACGACAGACTGTTGTCCTTAGGTAAAGCAGGGCATAAGAACGACAGATTGGCCGCCTGCGGGTACTGTAGCCATGAGTGAACAGTTTGTCTACCTCCAGGAGCTGGTTTGTTCTGCTGCGGTCAGTGCCATGTTTGCTTCTTCCGTCTCCCGGCGCTGTATTTTTGTCCTTACTATTTCAGCTGGACACGCTGGAGTACGTGCACAGTCGGGAGTACATTCACGCAGACATCAAAGCACAGAACCTGCTGCTGGGCTACAAGAAGGGGACTGAGAACCAGGTACAGGATTCACGCTGGTCCCGCGGCTCAGCGGATCGGACGAACTGAGCTGTGTTTATGGGGCGATGGCTGTTGGACATGTTAGGCGTTATTTAGCCGCCTGAATGTTTTCATTGCAATCCAAAGCATGACTTGTCGGTGATGGCCATATGATGTAGGATGTATTAAGTTATGGTGTGGTTGATACTCAAAATGAAATGATTTTGTTGAAACTTGTTGGTTTATAAGATTAGATGAACTTATGTTTTGAAACTTAGCATGTATAATTTAAGGATTTTTTAAAAAAACAGTCCATGCAGTCTGCTTGACCTACAACAAAGAGTTTCGGTGGCCGTGGTATGCCACTTTTCGGCACCGTCTCTGTCCCGTCATTTTGTGACCAGTCCTTGTGAACCCGTTCAAACCGACTGGTTGCGCTGTTCGCGGCAGGTGTACTTGGTCGACTTTGGTCTGGCGTGTCGGTACGCGCTGGACGGTCAGCACAAGCCGTACAGGCCGGACCTGCGCAAGGCGCACAACGGCACCATCGAGTTCACCAGCCGCGACGCCCACATCGGCGCCCACTCGCGGCGCGGCGACCTCGAGATCCTCGGCTACAACCTGCTGCAGTGGGCGTGCGGCCGGCTGCCCTGGCAGGACCACCTGCAGCACGCCGACGCCGTGGCGCGCTACAAGAACCGGCTGATGCAGGACGTGCCGGCGCTCATGCTGGCGTGCTTCCCGGACGGACGACCAGCCGGCGCCGGTAGGGGACGCTGAAGCGGCCGTGGATGGGGCGGCGCGCGTCCAGACGCGTACAGAATGTTTGCTCGTGTTGCCTTGGGAATGTCGAACCGGGCGGGCAAGGTAAGCAGGGTCGGCACGTAACGCTGCGCAGAGAGGCGACGTCGCTGGCGCAGGCAGCGCCGCCGCCCGTGATGTTACGTTGACTTGTGTCTTAGCAACAGACACGGGGTCTCGGTTAATACTTGCAGGGTGTTGACTGTCCTTGCAACACTACTCCACGCACCGAGGACGCCTCATACAAATCACGTGCGTCAGTAGTCATTTAATATCAGTTTCGGTTCACGCTTGCGTGGCTGTGTCAAGGGCCGGCGTGGTGGTCACAGTATAGCCCATCTCCAGCCACATAACATCAATACCATCCCAATGATGTACAGGATGTTCTGATAGGTTTCATGGGTAGTACATGAGCATGCGTGTACCATTTGGCAATCCCCTGCATGTAGAAACGCTGTGCTGTCGCTGCTACCGTCGCTGGGGTTTTTCGGACATTTTCTAGGCTTGTCTTTGTACGGCTCGTTTCTTCGACATATACCAGAAGGTATTCCTGTTGCATGTGAAGCATGCTGGACCATATGGCCATACGGTAGTCGGTATGCTACAAAGCCCAAATTATAATCATCCCCCTCTTCCGCACTCTGTGACTGACACCGCACCGCTCTTCCACACTATTGTGGCTGACACCGCTATGGGATGGTTGTGGATTTACGTGGCATTTCTTGCCGGCACACTCACCCATAACCTATACTTTTCAGAAGTTGGTGACCTCGGGTCGGGTCAAAGGCCAGCAAAAATGCCCGAGACCAGAAAAATTGGTTGTGGACAGCCTTATGCTTTGAGCCTATGGCGCAAAACTTTTATCAATCCGTGCGCGATGGCCAGAAACCTATTTTGCCGGGACGTTATGACCTTGGCCGCGTCCAAGGTCACCAAAACGTCCCTAACCGACAAAAGTCGCTTTGCTTACGACCCCGTCCTCAGATTCAACTGACTTAAGGTCACCATGGTCTACGAGCGATAGACCATTGCCCTTGGCTCAGCGATTGACTAAGGTTTTGTGTCGCGCAGTGTCATAGGCTCGAAACATGGGGTTAACAGGTTTTGTCGGCCGTTCACTCCCTCTCAGTCGTCACCTTAAAAACATTTCGAGTCCCTCGATTGTCGAAATTCACATACCAGCACAAAACAGAGCCGTCAGGGCTGCTCCTTCCAGCCGCATTATCAGCCGACGTCTATCTTGAGCTACATCATGTGGTCATCATAACTGAACATCTGTCATGGCTGGGCTCGAAGTTTTAAACGGTCGAGCCTTCCCTCTGCGCAAATTTGACGGCAGGCCGTGCAGCCGTCTGCCCGGCGGCCAGCGAGAGAAATGCGCGCAGACAAGCAGGTGTACCCTTGGAAATCAATGAGTTGGAAAAGAAAACAACTGATGTTGGTGTACGAGTTTTGTTGCTTCCATTCACAGGTTGTGCGTCTGTTTTTCTTGATGGTCTGTGTTCGTATTTGTCGCAGTGATGTGCGAAGCGCAACAATATTATCAGTCCGTCTGCCGGTCTGTCCGTTTGTTTGAATGCAGGTGATCGTGTACTGGTTGAAGTGGTTATCAGATTTCACTTTCGGCTGATTGTTGTGTTACAACGATTTTGACGTAGTAAAATAGCGTGCTAAATATTCTAACAAAGCACTTTACTGCATCTGATTATGAGGCTCCTTCCGGGGCAGCTCATGAAATATGTGCGACACTAATACGGATGACGGTATGCGCCAGATGCGATCCAGCACTTCCTGGAGTCAGTGGCTGCTCTAGAGTTCGAGACCGACCCGGACTACGAATCGCTGCGAGGCCTGCTGCGGGCCGGCCTGCGCACGCTCGGCTCCCCCAGCCGGCTGCGGTTCTCTGCCGCCGTCCAGGTGAGGTCCCGGGGGTGCGCCGGGCGTTCTCGCTGGACGCGCTGCCACCGACTAACCGTTGACGACGTAACCTCTCACAGCGTGCGGAACCTTGCGCAAAGGTCAGCCGTCACTGGAGGGTCGGAGGTGGCCGCGCCAGGCGACGGCGGCCAGCACCGTGGCCGTCGCCGCCCGTTGCTGGGGCCGGCGAGAGCGCCACGCCGCGCCTGACCCCTGACGACGTCAGCGCTGACCTGCCCCACATCACTCGTGTGAATCAGCCGCTTTCGATCCGGTCGAGCCGCTCTGTATTGAGGCTCCCGAGTGAAGGCGGTATGCCGACATGATGCCGTTGTGTAACTACGACATTGTGATTTCTACTCAGGATAAATTAGCACCAGGTGACTGCGATGTTTGCCATTGCCCTGCCTTCGTTGGAAACCGAAGTTCGACTGAGGTCTCAATGAAGCTGGGGAACGAAAGTTCGATGCGTGGATTTTGCGGCTTTGCGCGCTGTCGTGCTGCGTTGCGTTGTGTGATATCTGCCGCTGTGATATCGGCTGCGACGACATGAAATATACGCTTATCCGGACATGTGTTGTTTCCGTAATGTAGCCGAAGCACCTCGAGCGTGAGACGACCCAAGACGCTCAGACGATGAGCACCGTCGCCGCCGCACGCCCCTCTCTTTCTCTCTTTCCTCCGATGGACGGAATCACCTCGAGCGGCGCTGCTCGTCGTCCGTTGTCCCTACCCCCGTCACACTGTACACCGATCGCCCCCCGACCCTCCTCACCTGACGATGGCCGGTGTTGCAGGAGGAGCGGGGACTGGCCGCCCGGCCGGCGCGTGTCTCGGGTGAGTGACCGTCCGCGTGATTGGCGTTGCCGGTCCGCGGCCGCGCTCTGATCGTCCGCTTGTCGTTGCAGGCCACGCACCGCCGCCGCCGACCCCGCTCCGGCTCAAGTCGCAGCCAAGAGCCGGCCGCCAAACGGCCAGCCCGCTCCCCAACCCAACCCGGCAGCAGGTGAGAGAGGGAGAGAGAGAGAGAGAGAGAGAGAGAGAGAGAGAGAGAGAGAGAGAGAGAGAGAGAGAGAGAGAGAGAGAGAGAGAGAGAGAGAGAGAGAGAGAGAGAGAGAGAGAGAGAGAGAGAGAGCGAGAGAGCGAGAAAGCGAGAGAGCGAGAGAGCGAGAGGGGGAGGGGGAGGGGGGAGATTTGGGTGGGTGAGTGAGTCTGTGAGTGAGTGAACCACTCTGGTAATGTTGTAAATCGAGTAAGAATGGGTCGGGTTGTCTTGTAAGTCGTCCCCGCGTGCGTACTTCCATTGTGGATATAAATATGAAAATTTGTCATGTCATGACGCAGTGAATCGTGCAAACGTGTGTGTGTAGACACAACGGGCATGGAAGCAAATTGCAGCGCGGGCATTTCAGCTAGGATGCGTGTTCTGGAAACGGCATCAAAATGTTGAGAGAATGTTAGATTTTTGTATGGTTTTGCTGCCTTATGTGCTGGTTGGTATTGTGGGCAAGCACGACAGCGGAAAATGGACCGGATACGATGTTGGAAAACGAGTGGCGTCTGCAAAAGCAGTGGACGCGTGGCGAAACGACGCGTTTCGGTTATTTTTGTACCATGCTCAGAAGAGTTTCTTCCATGGTCATAACGAGTACCAACAGCACTGCCAAACACGACGAGGCCTGAAAGCTGCGTGCTGGGCACGACTACCGTCTTTTTCGGACGTAGCGTGTGAGCGGTCAAAGCGAGTTAAGTACTGCGGTCATTGAGGGCAAGAGAGACCAAATCTCAATCAATCGTAGATGTCGAAAATAACGTTCAATGCTCGATATCATGGCATATAAAGAAGTATACGGCGTATTCTTGTACAGCATACCTTAAGCAAAGCGAGTCAAGACGCGCTGTCGTCATGACACGGATGTTATTGGTGCTCGGCCCGTCTGATCTGAAGACGGCTAAACTTCGCGAACACTTCACATTTACAGGTAGCTTGCTCTAGGCCCGTGTTGCGCGACCAAAAGATGAACGCCGACCGAATTCTCCGCATACTTGGGATACGGAGCTAACGGTTCACAGTTGCTCTTGTGCAATGACGGGAAGTTGAAGGGAGCGATAAGCGCCTGCTCCTGTCTGAAGGGGTCACATTTGAGGTTCCAGCTGCTGCGCCGTCACATTACGAACACGGATGTGTGGCTGGGCCCTATCTGTGGTGTCATAGGCTCAAGATACCAGAAATACACCTACCGTTTTTCCACCCCCCTGTTAATGACGTCATGTTTGTGTCCTGTGCTGCTGATGACGTCACGTCCACTTATTGTACGCGTCTTACGCCTTGGTGGAGTGAGAGCGTGTTTACGACCTGATCTCCTCGGTCAGCTGACTAACACCTGTCCCGGGCTGCGCCAGCGGCGGCGGCCAGGAGAACAACTTGGGCCGCGCGGGCGCGCCGCCGGGCCGCCGCGGCCGGGCGCCGCTCCGGCTGGTGACGGGCAACAGCGGCCCGCCGGCGCCCGACGACCAGCCCGAGGCCACGTCGCCCTCGCTCCGCTCCGACGGCAAGCTGCGCGACTTCGACTGGCAGCACTACAACAAGATGGTGGAGGAGGCGGAGCGCCGCCGCGCCGGGGTGCGTCCAGCTCTCGCCAGGCACGCGCCGCGGCGCGGGGGCAGGGAGTCTGCTGTCGTGTGTCCTCTGCTTGGGGCTGGGTGATTCGGGCTGAAGGTTGCGGTGGGATCATCTTCCTCCAACATAAAAATGTCGAGGCATGTCACCCGACGATCTTCTTTGTGTTTTATAGTTACAGATATGAAGACTTGCGTCGTGCCCCCGTGGTGCCATTCATTACGTTTGCTCTTTTTCCTTTGCTGGGACCCTACGCTGCACCATTTTTGCCGTTGTTACCTTGTTGTTACCTTGTTACCTTGACGTAAGCGCCTAAGCGACGTAAGTTGTTACCTTGACGTAAGCGCTGTGGAGACTGGCACGACCAGCGCTGGCGTTGAAGTACTAATGCCATGGCGATATGGCGTAGTGAGCCGAAGCTCGCGTTGGAAAAGGGTCATAGTTCATTTGTTGTTCGTATGGTTACTTCCTAGATGGGGAGGGGGAATGGATCGCTCGTACTTTGATATATTATGAGGTTTACCGGAGGTGGAAAGTGAGTGAGCCCAGTCCTGTTGACCAGCTGACTAGTCCTTATCTTATGAACAGCCTGATGCTCCAGATCTGGACGGTATGGTACATTGGTGGACGCTTTCACTGAACTGACGCCAGTGCCGACTGTTGTGACGCTATCAGCTGGCTACCTGCCGACACCGACCATGACGCTGTCTGACTCTGCCATCTGATGCCGTTCGTCCGTCGTCTGACCGACTGACGCCTGTCCTCCTGATGGCAGCGTCAGTCGACTGCGGACGGCGGCGCCGGCGACGGCGCGGCTGAGAGCCGATACACAATGCAGGACAATATCACTCCGGCTATGCGCGCCGTTCTCCTGAAACGGCTGACTCGCTCGCCAGAAAAGGGTGACGCGCGCGCCAAGAAGCGCAGCTGCAGCAGCAGGTGCGGAGGTGTGGCTGAGGGCCGGGCGGCGTGACCTATTGTGTGACGTCCGGTCGTGTACAGGGCGGCGCGTGTAAGGTGCGCCTGTGCTGGTCACGCCCTGGGTGTAGCTGTTATGGAAGTGTGGCTCCTTTCAGCAGGAAACTCAATGTATCAAGTTGCACATGATGCGTTGCCCTTTGCGTCGGTTTGCCTGATCATGAAATAGTCGGCGGCTAGAAGTGCGCCAACGGGTTGATGCGTACGCAGACGTGTGCTTCGCTCACTGGTTTGGCATTGACTCGCAGGCTATGCCGACCATATACACGCCTCAGCGTGGTAACCTGACTGTTGATCACCTCTTGACCCGCGGCTTGTGAACTGTTGCCTCCTCTCAGTTCAAGCGGCGGCGTGCCCGTGTCCGTCGTTCGCGCGATGTGTTGTGCTAGCCGTTCCCCGGCGCGTCGGCCGTCTCCCGGCGCGTCGGCCGGCCCCCCCCCCCCTCGCTGGTCGTCCCCTGCTGACGTGACTCTGTTTGGTCGCAGCCGCGGCCGGAAGGAGAGCAGCGCTGCGGCGCCGGTCACACCGGCCATGGCGGACGTGATGCGAACACGACGGAGCCGGCAGCGGGGCCGGCGCCGCCGCTCGCCGGACGGCACCGACGACGAGCTCAGCTTCCACGCGCCGCCCGTAGAGTCGGCCGCGGCCATGCGTTGGCGGAGCCCGCCGCTTGCCCTGCCCCAAGCCGCGGTCAGCCATCCGCAGCGAGCCGCCGGCCGCGGGGCGCCGCCTGCGCAGCGGGCTCCAGTACAGCTCTCGACCGGCCTGACGCCCTGACGGCAGTGTAGCCCGCTTCAGCCGGGCTCGCAAGAAACCGTGCCGCGCACCGCTGCTGTACCGGCCGTGGCCGGCCAGACGGAGAACGCCGTCCCGGAGAAATCTGGCGCACCTCGGACGGCTGAAGACCGCCGTCTCAGCGGACTACGGCAGAGCTGACTGGGAGCGCTCGTGCGGGCGCATTGCAATGTGGCTGTTGTCACAACGACGCGAGTGAGACCGTCAGAGCTCAGTGTATCGCTCATTGCACATGAGGAGATATCCCGGCTATGTCATAGGAGAGCTTCGGCGTGACTGACGGAGAAGTGCCGGCCGGGTGGCGCGAGGGAAGTGCTCGGGGCGAAGGTGGAGGGCTGCTGGCGCACGGTTCGGTGCTGTGTGGTACCGGCGCGACGCGATTGGTGCTGCCTGTTGGGTGTCTGCCGCAGTGTTTGGTTGTCGGGGGGGGGGGGGGGGGGGTCGTGGCAAGTGGTCAAGACGTCAGCCGGCGGCAGACGACGCTCCGAGGATAGAGCGTGCGTGGCTGACCAGCAGAGGACGTGAGAAACAGCCCGGGGACTGACCTTCGGCCCCGCGCAGCCGTTCGCACCACGGCGGCTGTCGGCAGCGCATGGCACCGGGAGGCATCAGGTCAGAATAATGAACTTAGCGGCTCAGGATGATTACCGTACTCGTGCGGCTGTGTGCCGGCCGTGACTGTCTCCAGTCCCGCTGGAGGGGGGGGGGGGGGGGGGGGGGGGCGGTGAGGGCGCGTATCTTGTGCGTTTCGCTGTTCTATCGGTGTGTGCCACAGCCATGCAGATTTATTTTTACGGTGTGTGCAGATCCTTGCGGACATGCCACTTTGGAGTTGTGTGGATGCATGATGTGCTGCAACTCCTTTTGTTCTGTGATAGTTAATTTTGTAGTTGTGCATAATACACCAGCGACCGAGACGGACATTTTCTCCATCTTTGATAACGCAAGTTTTGATGTCCATGGGTATCCCTGCGGAAAACTGGGATTCCTTTGGAGTCTGTGTTTTTCCCCCACCTGTAATTTGCCCACCAAAGGCAATGCTGTCCCCTCCCCCCCCCCCCGCCTTTCAGTGCAGAATGTATGCAGGCCGTTGAAAATACGGACGCAGGTATTTAAGTTTTCAGGACGTTGCTTACGATGGATTCCTTCATGAAAAGAACGAAGAACATAAAAACTGCGAGATGTGCTCAGCTGCGTGTAAATGGCTGAGCTGGATCTTCTGTAATTTGGTTGGGGATTAGCCATGAATGGCGTAGATCATCCATGTGCTGCGTAGCTGTTCACTTTAATCTCATGAACCATTGTCTGTCTGATGAGCCGAGGTGTGTGGAGATTACTGCATCGTTTAGGCCACCAGTTGTTCCCATTCGTATTTGGTGCTGAGAGCATCTACAACTTTTTGTCACGATATATCCCAGAAGTATCCGTCTCTATGGAGAGCACAACATCTGGCTACATTAACGGATCTCGCCACCGGTTTTTAGAAGCCAAGCCAGCGGGCCAAGTTAGCACCCTTCTCCGATTTCCTTTTTGTCCGTGAATTAAGTCACGGTGTCCTACCCACCCCCTGCAAAATGTGTTGCTTTATTTAACCTAAGATTTTCTGTGAAATACGAGTGGGACGCGAAAAACACGACTCAGTTCGGCGCCGTGCCACATTTTTACACTCAGCCTTTTGCGATGGCATCAAGATTCGTAACGACCAATACTTGTATGGGATTTAGACTAAAAGCAAGCTGCTTCCATTGGATACCTACAAATGTGCTGTGAAAACAGCGATGGAGATGAGCTAACTGCAACGATGGCGTAAAAAATGCGTATGCTATTAACAGGATTTACACATGTCTATTATTAAAACGGATCGGAACGGAGATCAAGTTGGACACTCCCCCTTCCGAAGGTTCTCCAATACAGTTTATGACCAGAGCGGCGTTACCATTCTAACGCTGGTGGGTGCACAACGATATGTGAAATCGTACGTGTCTATGGAAAAGGGAAATACCCGGTCACATCAACGACAAAAGTTTAGTGCCGCCAATTATTTATTTACAATTACAATTTGTTATGTACAATTATTTACTTGTTATTTAGATAACGTTCTGATTAGTTTTTCGCTAAATATTACGTTCTGTTATATGATTGCATGCAAACAGATGCATAACGGGTCTTTAGGTGCGGAAAGTTAGATTACATGGTCGCGTCAGGCCGTGACTACCAGCGGAGACGGCTCATGTGGAACCGTTCGAGCTGATGCGATAACGTAAGATTGAAGGGAGCATCCTGCCTTTCTACTTTTCACTCATTTTTACATCATTCGTGTACGATTTGATCAGCAATGTGAGTTTCATCGAAATTCTGAATAGCACAGGATTTCTATTTGGAGCAGCTGACCATGGTGGAGAAATCACATTTGACTCCATGCTTACCACTATGAAAAAGATAGAATTAATCCGCCTTGCTTTTTCCAGCCGGTGTGTTCCGTAGTGTTTGCAACACAATTATGGGTCTAAACGTTTGTGTATAGGAGCTGCGAAAGTTTAAAACACTACGTAGACAAAAAGATGTGCGAGCAGAAAGCTATCATGTAAATTCAACGAAACGTTATGCTATGGCTTTGGCTGCTTTCCTACGGCTTTTACCACCGTGGCTTCCTTCGAGGCGCGCTTCGGATTTGGAAATAAGAGCAGCACACGATCCATGTGACGCACTGGTTCAAACTTCAGCCAACGCGCTTCCCGGCCCTTATACGCTGGGCTAACCACAAACGCCCTTTTGTTCGCACCATTAGAGGTGCACACGATGGTTGTCATGACGACGGTCGTCGCGACTGTAGGGAATGAGCGTAATGCCGTCACAAGTCATGGACAGCGCAATTTGGATTCGAAAAATACTTAAAATTGATATATTTTCCGTCTTGGCGATGCTGTAGTGGCACAACCTAGTGTTACTATTCGACATAACCAGTCTTTTGGGATCACTATGGTATGTTATGGTATGCTACAATGGTATGCTACTATGGTATGTTTTCTAGGAATATGCACCTAGGTCGGACACTCCGTTTAAACGAAGCCATAAATCTCTGAGATACTTTCTTAGACAATTGGCCAGTTGAGGTTTAAATCATGACCAATGCTATTGAACTTGAGCCAGTGTGAAGGGTCGGACCGAGGTCAAAACTATGTAACGTTTTCAACGAAAGATGTGCTTTAAGAAGTAGCTTTTGATGCTCCTTCAAGTTTTTTGATCACAAGGACGTCAAGAGATATCTGTTTTTACAGGTCAGCGGAGGCCACTGACCTAAAATGACACACCAACAGTTTTTTCATGACCGGTACGGCGCAGCCGTTTCAATCGGTGAGACCGGAAAGGGACACCAATGGAATTTTGCTTAGAACAAACTTGGGTATGCTTTGGGTTAGGTTAGGGTTACTTTGCCTAGGGTTAAGGTGGTAGCGAGATGAGGTCTGGCGATATTTCGGATACCGATCTGGAGTTTGACCTTACTTGCTCCAAAGGTCAACAGGTATTTCGACCAAGTCTATCTCAAAATTTGACACTGAACTAAGGAAGCTCGGACACAGGCCTTTCTGCCTTGTGAATTTAGCATTTTTGGTTCTGTTGTTTCGTTTTTATCTTAGGGGTCATATCGACCTCACCCCTACCGCGCGCGTCGCAATCAGCCGGCCACCCTTGAACGTGTTGAATTGTTACGCGTATGGTACCTGCGTAAATGATATGAAACGGAGGTATGCCATATGTTATAAGATATCCTAACTTCATGTGGGCATTCTCTACGTCAGCATTGCAAAGTAGTAACGGACGAACCTACAACATAAGTTCCACTGAAATGCGTGCGATTGCGCGTTATTAAATGATGACATCTTCTGCCGCGCTCGGCGATGTGCTTCTTTACCGTCTGAAAGCTTCATTTAAACTCAAATATATGAATTCCCCGGAAATCGTAACCCATGTAACTAATCAATGATGACCACAGGATTTTAAATGAAACTCAAGCTTTCCTGTGTTTTCACGTCAAAAAGTGTGGGACAAGTGTTCGGTATAGGTACCGATGAAAACAACAGCCACGTTGTTATTAATGGTGGCATGCATTTATCCGAGTTCAACTGTTCATGGCTGATTTCTAGGTCACAGGTGACATCTTTGGGAAGTAAGCGATATGGCAGATAACAGGCATTGCCTTTCCACAAAACCGTTCTCTGCAACGCGCAAAATGCTCACAAAAAAACAACGTTACCGCGAAGACTCGCCGATTGTCAATATCGAAGCCCAACTTTGGTAGAGCAGAACTCGACTGAACTTATGCTGACCACATCCGTAATGAGGCGAAACGCCCCGTGGAGGGTGCGCCTTCAGAGTAAGCGTTCGTGCATGACTCGCCGAAGAGGGCCATTTAGCTGTTGACTTGGCAGCGTCAGCCTGATCACAGGGCGCCGAGAGACGTCTAAGTGCATAACACGGTAAAGATCCTTTCGTGCTATTCCGATAAGGGCTCGAGGCAGAAGGGGGCTCGTTTAACCTCCATTGCAGTAATTGGATGGTAGCACGGGAGCTCTAGCAATTTATTATTTTCTGCACGAAATGCGATTCAAAATCTGTCCAAACAAAAGCTCTGTTTTCTGTTACATGTGTTGCATACCCCATTGAATAGCTGAACATACCTTTTGATTTAACGACGATGCACCAGAAATAGCATCCTGTTGCCCGATTTTATTTTCTCATGAGACCATACCAAAAAGAGCCAGGTTTCAAGTAAAACAATGCTAGGTTCGTAGAGTTTCATGGGTAGCAGACAAAATGACGAGTAGCAGAAAAGGCTCCACGAGACCTGTGAAGCGGTGGCGTCAGTGCCATGTTTATGTCGCGGGAATAAGCGCCTGGTGTTATATTTGGAGCAAAAAATGTCATATTCAAAATGGTTTAGCCCCCATTATCCAAAGTTACCCAGAATTGGAGGAAATAAT